CAACTCAGCTTCATTAGTATGGCTGTTGATGGAACACGTTATTTCATTGCTCAAAAGAAAACTTCAATATTACTGGAACGGATGAAATTCACAAGGGAAACCACACCAAGAAAACCAAAGGAGACGAAGGAAGATGTTTTACATGCTGGTGATTCACTCTGAGACAAAAGAAAAGGAAAGAATATCCCCAACCATTTGGATCCCCAAATACTAAATATATAAACTTATTTCTGTGATAGCTCCTCCAGACATGAGTCATGCATTTTAAAACCTTATGGGGTCGATCAACTTAACTTCATAAATGAATTAGACCTCCAAAACCAGACCAAAACCAGACCAATGTATCCAGACTGGCTCATTTCAATCTTTCAGAGCTGTCGATAAAACTGTGTGTGAGCTGAAATGCTTACCAGCAAAAGCTGAAACTAATAAATCAAATTTAATAGGCTGGTTTTGTCGACTGTACAGGAATGATGCCTGAAAAAAACCAACCCAAGCCTGAACTAATGGAATTCCTAAAGGATACGCAAAGACTTTCATTTCTACATGCCTAATGTTCCAGATTTCTGTTCAGTTGTCCTATGCGCATAACCCACAGAATTTCTGAATTAAGACCAGCACTTTACACATAAAATATTTAGAAAGGCTTCCAATCCTGACAAAAAGATCTATTGCCTCCCTCAATAGCTGGTTCCTGGAGTTAATTACCCTCACTTATGTTTAATTTAAATTTGTGTCCCTTCATTTTGCAGCAGCTTGGTATTTTTTTATGCTATTATCTGCTACATTAAAGTGCCCTGCACTTTCATTTATCTTCCCTCCATGTGGTCAGGTTGCCTTTTAACCTTTTCTTTGCAACAAATTGACATCCTTCTACCTGCCCCTACAGATGACTGTGCCTCTATAGGCTACAGAGGTGCTTGGGTTTCATTTGTTTTCCTTTTGCTGGGGTGACATAAATAAAATAGTGTTTCCAACCTTGTCTTTATTTTCTGCTTTTTTGTTTCTCCTACAGCAAATATATTGCCAGTACATGATGCCAGATTGACAAGATGGAAACAGAAGTCAGAATTCTTTACTATCAAACCAACCCCACACTGCCCTCCTGTCTTATAGAGTTCTGTAAGACCATCAGCCTGGGTAGAGATGGTCTCCCCTGATATTTAGATTAGGAAATAAGGGTTGTATCCCCAACACTGTGGAGTAACTGTGGTCAGCAAATGTCAGCTGCTGTGGTAAAGCCACAAGCCAGGAGAGACCTGAGGTTGGTCCCGCTCTGGGTCAGGACCAAATAACTAATCGCAAGGCATGAAATGTATTATCCAGCAATCAATACCCTGAGCCATCTTGTTCTCCGAGTCAAAATAAACCCTTTCTAGGTGCAAGAGCAGCATCCTCCAAATGAAACAGAAAAGCTGGAGAGGAAGCAAACCCAGCAACTTTCATTTAATTTTATAGTCGGCTGTAGCGCTGATGTTCCCTTAACACTGCATAACATTGCTTTGATTAATCTAATAAAGGTATGCCCCCAGAAACAGAATGACATCTGCTATTTAAGATAGGCTTGGTACAGTTATGCCTCTTGCAGTATTTGTGTCTCATTGCTTTCAAGGATATGGAACTTCACTTTTTCCATTAAAACGAGAAAAAGATGACTATAAATATGTCTTCTCCTGTGATATAAAGCTCAAACTACAAAAGATAGATCACACAAAATTACTCTTGTTTGCATTCTGAAGATGGAGCTTGTCATTAGAAAGATGAACACTTTATATTCTTCTTACATTTTCTAATATTATAATGACAGATATTATGGCAAGCACCATAATCTGTTCCACTGCAGTGCAAACAGCGCCCATCACCTCCCTAATAACATTGCAAAAGCTAGAAAGGAGAGTTCATTACTTTCTTTGCCTTCTGTCGGAATATTGCTGAGCCATATAATTACTGCAGTTGCAGAGATGTGCAGTGTTGGGGTAGTGTCAGTGCTCTTCTCTGGGCAGCTGCACTGTACTGATACTGTATTGATACTGGGACTGGGACTGTATTGCTCCCCGCATTGTTATACTGGAAACATAGTTCTGAAAAGCTCTATTTGTATTTTAATACCTGTTAAAGATTATAGGCAAGCTCCAATTTCATAGCTTTTAACTGGGAGATAGCAGCTTGCTGCCCAAGCTGATAGAGATAAAGCTGTACACTCAGCAGGGTCCTACCCCTTCCTTGAGAGAAGCAAGGTCAGCAAGTCCGGTTCTTTTCACTCACATCTCACTTAAGAACAATAGCCCATTTTCAGCTTCTCCTCCAGTGATGGAGGCCAGAAAAGTCTGTTATGTGGTCACAAATACAGGTAGTGAGGAGTTTTCCAACTCAGCAGATTTCATATCATGGAGCCAAACACAGATTTATCTAAAACATGCCCTGGGAGTATATGGGTTTGGCTGAACTTGTGAGCAGGAAGGGAGGACATACACAGGGACTAGGAAATTAATTGCTTAGCCGGAGGTTTGCCCAGGATGCAGAAGACCTGTGTTCAAGCCCACGTTCTGTTGAATTCTGTATGAGGACATAATTCTGTCCTTCCAGTGAGACACATCCTCTCTGCCCTGTTTCAGGACCTACTGCAAACAGACTATTCGCTTTGTGCAAAAACTCCCAGAATTAGTGATCTCATATGAAAGGAAGCACTGATGATGACTTAGTTTTACCAGCAGCTCAATGACCCAAGGATGTCTTTCTTCTAACGTATACAGGAGCATTTAATCTCTTACTTTACTAGGATCTGTTTGACTTCACCTACCATTATCACAATGACGGGTTGGTGGAGAGCAGAGCCAGCCATGGATTACGCACAGTATGCACAACAAATGTAATCAGGCTGAATTATCACGGATTGAGTCTTGGGCTCCTGGAAATAAATTGTAGTATTACATTTGTCATCTGCGAGCCTTTAACAGCCACAAAACACTCACAGCATAGGTCTATGGTCAACTTTAAGCAAATTGTATGGGGCACTTCAGACTGTGATTAAGGTGAACTGGCTCCTGCAGAGAGATATGTGTGTTTGCCACAATTTATCTTCAAAGACTGTCTATAAATCCTAAAAAAGAGGAGGCATTTGTTGGCTTTTGGTTTGTTTTTTTTTTTTTTCCCCTGTTGGGTAGGAGCAGCATTTTAATAGACTCATAGAATCATAGAATCATTTAAGTTGGAAAAGACCTTTCAGGTCATCGAGTCCAACTGTTAATGTAACACTGCCAAGTCCACCACTAAACCATGCCCCTAAGCACCACATCTACACATCTTTTAAATACCTGCAGGGAGGGGGACTCAACCATTTCCCTGGGCAGCCTGTTCCGGTGCCTGACCACCCTTTCAGTGAAGAAGTTTCTTCTAATATCCAAACATCTAAACCTCCCCTGGCATGACTTGAGGCCATCTCCTCTTGTCCTATCACTTGTTACTTGGGAGAAGAGACCGACCCCCACCTCACTACAACCTCCTTTCAGGCAGTTGTAAAGAGCAATAAGGTCTCCCCTCAGCCTCCTCTTCTCCAGGCTAAACAACCCCAGCTCCCTCAGCCGCTCCTCATAAGACTTGTGCTCTAGACCCTTCAACAACTTCGTTGCCCTTCTCTAGACACGCTCCAGCACCTCGATGTCCTTCTTGTAGTGAGGAGCCCAACACTGAACACACCACTCGAGGTGCGGCCTCACCAGTGCCGAGTACAGGGGCACTATCACCTCCCTGGTCCTGCTGGCCACGCTATTTCTGACACAAGCCAGGATGCTGTTGGCCTTCTTGGCCACCTGGGCACACTGCTGGCTCATATTCAGCCGGCTGTTGACCAGCACCCCCAGGTCCTTTTCCACCAGGCAGCTCTCCAGCCACTCTTCTCCACACCTGTAGCGTTGCATGGGGTTGTTGTGACCCAAGCACAGGACCCAGCACTGAGCCTTGTTGAACCTCATACAGCTGGCCTCAGCCCATCGATACAGCCTGTCCAGATCCCTCTGTAGGGCCTTCCTACCCTCCAGCAGATCGACACTCCTGCCCAGCTTGGTGTCGTCTGCAAACTTACTGAGGGTGCACTCGATCCCCTCGTCCGGATCATTGATAAAGATATTGAACAGGACCAGCCCTAATACTGACCCTGGGGAACACTGCTTGTGATTGTCTGCCAACTGGATTTAACTCCATTCACCACAACCCTGTGGACCCAGCCATCCAGCCAGTTTTTTACCTGGTGAGGATTTCAAGCAAAAAGGAATATAAGTGTACTTAAAGTTATACGAATATAACAGTATAAATATGAAAGGATCATTTTTAAATCATCTCCAGTTAGAGAAGTATCAGGAATTACATCATGTTCTCAGAATTCATCATTTACTTTCTGACACTGACACCAGCAGAACCACGATACGGCACAAATTCATGGCCAAACACATCCTACACTTGCAGCCAATATACACACACACAAAAAGAAATCATTTTGATCCTGAGCAGGGCTTCCTCTCTGCTTGCTAGCCTGCCTCTCATGTACAAGCCTGGGGAAAGCAAAGGGACCGCTCTTTTGGGGAATCGGTCATGCCAGATAGCTAACACACAGAAAAGGGAATCAGATCTCATTTTTCCTGCCAGCTATGCCCTATATTAGCCCAGCCCAAAGCACCTCTCCTCTCCCCTTCTTGCTTCTCCTAGGTCAGTGGTGACTCATCTGTACTTTAATGGAGGTCTCTGAGGCTTATGTCATTACCTAAAAAGAGCTTTGAGACCATCAAGTGAAGGATGCAAGAGAAGTGCGAAGAGGTAATTCTTGTAACTCATATCCACGTGCTACATATGTACCTATGTGTATTTTTTTTTCCCTTTTATAAAACCAGAATTTGTACCTGATCCTAGAGCAGGGAGGGAGCCATTCATTCCCTCCACCCTTTCCCCGTGATGCACCCCACCTTGCTGTTTTGTGTGTGAGGTTTGAAAAAGGGGGTCTGACATACCCAACAGTCGAATTTGCGTGACCGCGCCATGTAAAACGAAGAACATCCAGAGGGGCTGGGAACAGTCCACGCAGACCTGCATGCCAGTGCCAGCACCGTTGTGACTCAAGTGCAGCTCACCATCCGAATTCACCATAAATCCCAGGATGTCTCCGCTCTGGAGGGGCACGACAACTCGGCAGATGACCCAGAATTCCTTTCGGTCGACCAGGGACTCGGGGTTATAGGGGAGGTCACTGGGGCGCAAGGTGCTGGGGTCGCAAGATGTCACCCCGTAGGACAGTGTCCCTGTGCGCACGGCGTTGGACTTGTTGATTTTGACAAAAATGGTTTCGTTGATCCGAAGAGGTCTGCTGGTGAAAACCAAAGTCCTCTCCTCCCGGGCATGCTCCAGACGGGCCACAGTTTGGTCATCGAGGATTTTGACGTGGGGTCCCCGGAGGTGGTGGAAGCGGAGGTCGCTCTCCAGCTGGGAGGGGAGGAGGTGGGAGTGCTGGGAGTTGAGGGAGTTCTGCGGGATGGGACACGTGGTGGCTGTCATGTGGAAGGTCTCCTCCTGCAGGTTGAGGTCGCACAGGCTGACCGAGAGGCGCGTGTCCTCTGTCTCCCGCCGCAGCGAGGGCCGGCGGATGGCGGTGAAGGAGCGAGGCCGCAGGCAGTCGGGAGGAATGATTTCACTGTCTGCGGAGAGAGAGAAAACAAAAAAGGGGTCACTGCAGAGAAAATGAAAATGTCCAGGAGTTTGCAAATTGCTGTTGGTTTGATTTATAAGTTTAAAAGGGAAAATAAGAGACCTGCTGCCATTAATAAATTTTCCCCTTTAAAATATGGAAGCAGAGTATCATAAAATGCATTTGCAATCGATTGTTGTGCTCTCCCCACCAGCATCACCGTTTTCAGCTTCTGAGCAGGCAGACTCAAAATCGATGGAGAGAATTGACCAGGGGAGGATCTCCTTGGAGAGGGGAAGCAGAGGGTAAATATCTGAAATACACCCTGAACATACCAATCAATATTTATACAGGCTCCAAGTTTTCAAGCCCTCTTTATTGTCTACGGTAATTCTCACAGATCTAGGAAATAAATCTCCAACTACACATTTTTTTTATTTTAAAACAAATGCTATGTTCAGTTCTAATTTATTTATCATCATATGAAATTTAAGTAATATTCCTGAATATAATTAATCATTAGTGTTCTGGTGCTCACTGCAAACCAGTACAGATATGGATTTCACAGTGCAGAACTTAGGAATATGCAGTTTTCTATGAATAACATACAATCATTTATTATCTGCAAGCCAAATAATTAAAAATCAAATCCACGGATATGTAACAAAGAAAGATGATGCTTACACATTCAAATCCACCAATGGAAACAGAATTGCACCTTATCTTCTTTGTTAGTCTCACCTGCTGTTTCAAGAGCTAATCATCAATTTATTTGATTCTTTTTCTAAGGAACATAATCACCTGCCTTTAATGCCTAAATTACTTTTATTTAACATATCCTTAGCTATGCTGTTGCCATAGAAATTTTATAGAGCAATGTACTGAGAAAAAAACATTATTTAAACAGATTGTAAAAGTAAGCTGAGACAATGCAAAGATTTATACTTCTGCTTGACTTTCTGAACTCTGAGAAGCCCATAGCATCAAGAGACTGTTTGCTGTGAGAAAATTGAGCATGTGGGTAGTTCTCTGTTATGCCTGAAGACTGTTGTGGCTTCAAACCTGGGCCCAAATGATGTGAGGTGGGACCACCCTATATAACACAATCCCCCACAGGTGGCACAAAACAACACTGCCAGGCCCCAGCCTGGGACCTGCTGCAAACATGGCACAAGGTGGAACAACAAGAAGAGGCAGAGGAGCAGAGACTCATTCCTAACCCACCTGCTAGGCCCTTGCAGTGGGTACCTCTTCAGCCATGTATCCTTGGGATTTTCTTTTACAACAACAAAAGAGTAGAACTCAGGTTATCTGAGGATTTTCCCAATTGGATGCACCCTCTCCCAGTATACCAGAGTAGTGGCTCTGTACTGGTGTACCAAGGAAAAATGCCAGCTACTGAATAACCAACACCTCCTGCAATATCTGAGGCCTGACTAACAGCCTTTCCTGCCCTCCTCTTCTGGGAGCCCTAACGAGAGCACACCCACACACAGCCTGGCTTCAGTAGAGCTCTTTGCTTTGCTTAAACTGGATTATTCCAGGCTCCTCTTTAAATAAACTGCTATTACAAGGGAAGCACAGGCTCAAAATAAAAATGGGCTTTGTTTCTCATATTTGATTTTCCCCATACTGATATTTCAGTTTCTCTTCCCAGAAGTTAATTAAAGAAAAGGAGGAATAAATAAAATAAGAAATTACCCCAGATAATTTAGAAGTGGGTTGCATTAATGCTTTGTAATATATGGGCTAGTATTTGCATTGCAAGTGCTCCTGCTGCATAGAATTAGACTTATTTTACCCTCTCTTGGCTGGAAACCCACACAGGAGAACAAATTAATACTGGCAGCTGACGACGATCCTTTGGTGTAGGTGAATGGGTAGAGACCTTTCTGAATAGGAACAGAAGGTCCTCTCTATTTTATTCCCCCTAACTATGCATGTGCAGCCTGGCTGACAACTGTGATGTATGGGTAGCTTGCAGCCAGGGTTTTGAAACAGCTTGTTTTCCACCAGGATGCTTGCATTTCCCTTTGGCTGCTGGACAAAATATCTTTTTCCATCTGAAAAGAGGTTAAGAGAGATGGAGGAGTTCTGCAGAGAAGACACATGGCAGTGACAGCAAACCAGGGTTACACATCCAACTGTTTTACTTAAATCCTCAGTAGCTCAGATGCCTAGCCACATAAGGGATCAGATGTTTCAAGCATATAGGATCGACTGTGAGACGTAGTTCATTAATGTTTGCAAATACCCATGGAAGAAAGGATTGCGGTTTGCTGGTATCTGAAGGGGGTTTGTGAAAATTTAGAGAGATAAGCCTCTAAGAGATGCTGGCCTGCTCCAGGGCTCTATGTTTTTATAAATCACAAAATACCCAGCCAAAGAAGAAAAAAAAATCCCATTGAATATAAAGTAAAATGAAAGTGGGATTAATCTTTTTGGGTGGTAGGTAAATTGGAAGAGATGTTGAACGCGATTTACTCAGAATAACTGATAACAGCCGAGGGCTATGCAAGAGCAATTCTGGTGAAATGTGAAACAAATGAGTGACTTTGAGCAGTTTCTTTCACCAGAAGATGCCCAAGAAGGAGTTGCTTTCTTCCACTAAAGCTTCGGTTGTCACTTTTTAAACACAGACCAAGCTGTTCATGCTGGAGTGGCCCATAATGCAGCCTTAATCCTGCAGAACATTTACAACTGACCTTTAATGCCTACAAAGGAGGGATTCTCCACGTAGGAGTGTTCAGGCACATTTATATTTGCAAAGACAAACCTGGAGCACACATCAAAAAGACAGAACGACTTTAGGTGATGAGACTAGGTCAAACACAAAATGGGTCCAATGGCCCATTACAGAGGACATCACTCAGCTTCAGCCTGAAGAATTTAGAAATCATCCCTTCTTATTAAATATTCAAGGTTATAAAATTTCCTGTATAAGGCAGCTGGCAGTGTTTCTTTGGGAAAAGTCAACTGGTGAGAGACCTCCTTGGGTGAGAATAGATGGACTTGTGAGTGAAGACCACAGGTCTCACTGAGTCACCAGAGCAAGCTTTAACCCAGCTGGTTGGGGTACCACCAGCAAGCTGGCTGGGACCACGGCAGCTCGATGCAGGCTGGCTGCAGGTAGCTTTCCAGAGAGGTTTTGCTGAGCTCTGCATCAGTGCAGTTATGATGCCAATGCCGGATTTAGAGACTTAAAGTTTCTGGTAGCAATATAGACATAGTCAAAGCGGAAAGGATTTCTACTAAATACAAATTTTCTGCTCCTCAGCTGGAGAATCTGAGACACTGAATTTGTGTAAAGGATGCCTAACTTCACAAATCCCTTTGTATCTTTTTCTGGCTTTGTTTAAGAAAAAAAGAAAGCAGGAGTAGCAAAATAGAACTGAAGGGCACTTGAGCAGTTCAGCCGTCCTCTGTTTTCTCCTCCTCTTTAGTGGGGTTTATCTGCAAAATTTAGATTCTCCACAGCGGATGCCTTACACAGAAAGTTAACTTGAAGTATCTTCCTCAAGCCAGAGGCTTCAAAGATCTCTGTTTTCCTGCTCAGAGGGCATGGAAGAGCCTCCTGCTTCATGCAGGCTCAATGAAACTGAAGTAACACTTTAAAACAGCACTGACAAGGAGCTGGTGAGCAGCCTGGTACAGCTGTAATCGCTGCATCCAGGTCACAAGTATTTCACTACCACCTTTTTTTTGAATGACTGCCAAAGGTTGTTTTCTTAAAATCACCTATTTCCTTAAAAATGTATAATATATATAATACATATTTATTATTGATATCACATTTAATATAGCTACATGTACATCCAAACACAAACGCATTTCTAATCACCAGCATGCAAAGATCATCTCAGCCCCACACAAACCCGAAGGGGATGTGTTGCTGTCAGACTGTCAAATCATTATTCCTTTCCTCTTTTTCTTTCTCAGTACTGTCTGTTACTGCCTGAAGGCTTGACTTTCCAAGGTCATGAGCAGCCAGTATTCACACACCTGTACAGGATCTAAGAAAGCAGAGCAAACTCAGCACACACATGCTGGAAACTTGCAGAGTCCAGTATTTAACTGCAAGCTCTAGGAACACAGATCTCCTACTCTTGATGAGTTTTCTGAAATTGGTGCAATCCTATAGCCTCACGTGAATTGTATTTCTTCTGTATGAGGGCTGCAACCTCTCTCCAGAATGAGCTATGGAAGACCTAGTATAAATAAACCAATCTTGAGACTTATTACTACAAAAAATAACTTAAAATTTGGGGAATCAGACTGATAACCTAAGTACCTATCCCATTTCTACTGATCTTCCCTCCCAGGAGAAAGAAATGCTGAGAAAACAAGGAACAACCTAGTTATTCCTTGCACCTGCAGAACATTTCTGTCCTCAGCTACTAAGCAAAGAGTAAAAAGTTGGTAAAGTCAGAAACTTGCTGGTGTGGTCCTTCCCTTCCCGTGTACAGCCCAATGTTCTTTCCTTCCTTCTGTTCTTTGCTTTACTTCTTCACCAGTGCATTTTTCTTCTCTTAATCCCTTACTTCACTGGGTAATAGTATTTTTAGTGAGTACTGGTGCTCATTGTATAATTTCCATGACCAAGGAACCTCAGAGGTGCTAAGCTACCAAAAGACATCTTGAAGTCAGTGGCCCCTACAAGAATATTCTATGTAAATATACAACTGCAAAAGGATGTATACTGTATTAGTCCCACCACGCTGGAGGGGCTCCATTCCT